GAAATAACATATCATTTCCTGAGACTGAATTACTGCTTTTATTTCTTGTGCTGGTAATCAGTATTTGTACTGTATGGGCTGGGTCCAAGGATGATGTACAGATAAGCCCTTCATTCAGTCTTCTGCTCTGAGTCCAAGACTCAATAACAGAATCATTGTCTGTGACTTTTAAAAATTATGACTTGTCATAAAAGTATATGGAAAACAGACCCTGGCTCTGGACACCTAGAGTATTGCATTTATTCTGATGCCTAGTCGAAAAGAGACCAGTAAAAAGTGATCCTGGAGTCTAAAAGAAAAGACCATAAATGTTAAATAAATATATGATATGTCAGTAATGGAAACACAGGCTCCTGGGATCACCAAAGAGTATAATCCCTGAAGTGAGAGAAGCTTATTTAAGATGATACTGCCTTAACAGCAGGCTTAGAAAAATGATACCTGGCTGAATAGCATGATTCCCCTAAACAGGGAACACTAGGTTACACTGCGGGGTAGTCTCGGGGGGAAGTGATAGTTGTACAGGGTGTTGAGCAAAGAATGGGACCCAGCAGAGCACCAGGAAAAGCTCTCTGTGGAGTATCCATAGCCTGGAAGCTGAGCTGTGGGTCTGTGAGATCCCTTCTGCTTTCACTGCCATTGTCTCTACCACCCTGTGATGAAAGTGAAGGCCTCCTTCCCTGGAGATCCACTGTCAGGTAGGACCCTGCCTGGGATATCTCAAGATGACAGAAATGTTGAAGCCAAGTTGCGCCCATAAAAAAATCAACAAGAACTGAAGACTGGGATCCCTCAGACCTAGGATTTGGCTATCGAGAAGCTGAATTTCAATGATAGTTTTGCCTGTTTTAGGTGTAGGTTGAGAGTTGATGTGCACATGTCAACATTATCTCTACAGAGAGAGCGAGAATAAACTGCTGCATCTACAATAATCCTTTTCATGAATAGGGGATAGAATTTGTATTTTTTTTCCGTCTTCCTCCTTTCTGAATTTCTCTGACTCCTTTTGATACTGGAGAGCAAAGGGCAAGGTTAGAAGGCCCAAACACTGTACCATGTAGATGTTCAGTGAAGGGACTGCACACCCTTAGCAATGCTATGGCAGAATTGCCAAAAGACTTGGAAGCAGATCTGTTGAGGATGCTGCTACTTAACCTAACATACCCACAGCAAGGCATCATGAAACACTCCCAGCACTGCTGACAGCTGTGGTCTGCTGCGTTAAGAGGGTATGGAAAGCTGTCATATATCCACAAGAACAGAGCTAATAACAACTTGGGTTATGGTTGCAAGCTTTTCTCTCAAATCCACTAGAAAGAGGACCAGAAATCTTTCCTGCGTTGTTTTCCACTCGTGAAGTCCCTGCTCCAGCTGACTTGTCTCTGCTCCTCACTGATGTGACCTCAGGTCCTCTCCAAGGGTGAGAAAGGGTGGGCTCCAGCTGGAGGAATAGTATTTGGGATTGTAAACTGGTTGGAGCAAGGGATGTGTCTTGCTCTGCTTTTGTGATATCTGGACCTGAGGGGTTTAGAGATCATTGTGTGTTCAATGCACAGCTCTGAAGATGCTCTGTTTTGTTGTTCTTTGACATTCTGCCAAATGGGATGTCATTCTTCTGAACTTTATTAGGAATATTAGCCTCCAGATCATCTATCAAAGTTATTCTCTTCTTCTTCTTCTCTAAGTTAAATGTAGGTGAGTTTTGCCTGCGAAGACGAGGTTGTGGGCTTGCCTCCTCCCCCCCGTATTAACGTGGTTTTCCCAATCCAGAAGCCCCAAATGACATTTTCTGAGGCCTGGAGAATTTAATTACTGTCATTTTTGCAGAAACCTGATGGATGTGGGTTTCCAACAGAAACCCGACGCTCTGTAGGTGTGCCTGAGCCTGCCGTTCTGCTTATGTTTGTTGCAGAAGCTAAAAGCCCCGTGAACCTGTGCAAACCCAACCCATGCATGAACCAGGGCGTATGCATCCTCGGGCCTGGGAGCTACCGGTGCGAATGCCACGGCTGGGAAGGACCCCACTGTGAAAGCAGTAAGGCTCAGCAGATGGTACCTGTGGCAGATGTCATCCATTCTGCCCAGATCCTCTCAACTGTTCCCAAATCTGGGCCTCTCTTTTGCATGGGGACAGGGCGGTAACTCCCTGATAGCTGTTTAGTGACTGGGCCTTGATGCCCACATGGTCTCCATCTCACTGGAAGTAGAGAGGTGATCATTTCTGAGTGAATACGTGCTCTGCCCAGGCCCTGCTGCATTAGGGGAAATGAGGACATCTCTCAGGAAACTGCGTCCTGTCTTACACATTCACAAAGCAAGTTGACTCTGAGGGAAGCCCAAAAAGGTCCTAATGATTTTGATACTCTTCTTCCACTCTGCTCTGCTCCCCTTCTCCATGGACCTTGTTAGAAGACGCTCTCCTTGCCTTGCTCTGGGACTGGCCTAATTTTAATGGGAGAGAGTTGTCTTTTCTTGGAATTGTGACCCTGTATTCCTATTGTCTTCCAATACCTTCTATGGTGCAAAAGCCTCCCGTTGCTTTTCTCCTTCCTCTTCAGCAATATAGCAATGGACAAGAAGTGGTAACCCTCCAGCTCCCCAGGGCTGGCCCTGTGCCCAGAGTGGGAAGGTCTCAATTAAGAAAGCTTTTCCCCGCCCCGGTGTTGCGCTTATCTGCACCAAGGAGCTCTGACTTCCACCCTATAACCTCTAATGTCTGTCAGTTAAAACCAAGGGTGTGTTTGTCGGGTTGTAAGGTACTGAGCATGAGTTAATTCCTTGGTCCTAAAGCCCTGATTCTGCTGCTGCATTTCTGTTCTTCTGCAATAGGAATTGTCAGGGGTGATTCTCCGAGATCCCTTGTCCTTCCTGCGAACTCCCATGTGCAGCAGAGTCTGAGTGGTTTGCAGCGCTTCTCCAGAGCTCCCCGCCACACCGAAAAGCATGTGGATTGGAAACACTGACACAGATGCACTGAATGCTCCAGTTCTCCTACTAGGAATGCTTGCTTGTTTATGGCCACTTGCAGGCATGATCTGACAAGCTACCAGTGTCCTCTGCAGTGGCCAATTTACCCCAGTACAGAGACTGCCGTTTCCAGTTCCTGCACCACACAAGCTGAGCTTCCCAGTGCTCTCTTTCTTTTTGTATCAAGTAAATATTTGTGCTTAAGTATTTATTCTTGGCATTTTGAGTTTCCTCATCCAGATTCTATTGCTATGTGATTTTTTGTTTTAAACAGGCTTCTTGACAGACCTTTGAGTT